AACCCTCACGTTACATATATATATATATATATACATATTGAAGTAAAGGCTTTAAAACCAAGTTAACGCTGAAAGTATAAACATCACTAATGTCACATAACTTTGCCGGCTGGTGGCCAACAGTAATGTTTTAATGTTCCTCATTATTAAACATTCGCACATAAATAAGTGACATTATATTCAGTACTTACTTTTGACAGTTCACTCTTCGGCCGCTCCCTTCTGACGTATTTTGCGGCAAAATTATCCACACCCACCGCCACGCTATGGATTGTGGATTGTGTGTGTGGATATATGGGACCACGAAGCGTGCACCGGACCACGATTGATATTTGGGGACATCGACGGCGCATTTGGAGTATGCATTTGAAGTACACTTCAAATTGGGACAGCCGTTGTCGCGTAGCGGTGACGTAATCGCACTCAGAATGCGTACTTCAAGCGTGCAGACCCTGAACTGGGACACAGCCCACAACAACACAACACCTTCTTTGGGTTTTTACTTTGTTGTTCCCGCCTCCGAAATATCTGGGGGTTGACTTGAGTCCTTCTAAATTAAACTATTTGTCATTGTTCGGGTGAGTGGCAGTATTTTTCTACAGTGCTGTGGTCTCCACCTCTGGAGTCATCATCATCATCTCACCCAGTATCCACACCTGGTGATGATTGAGCCAGCTTTATTTAAGACCAGCGCACACATCTAGCCTTCGCCAGATAGTCTGCTAACCCACCTACGTCTTGATGCATGCTCAATCATTCAGTAAAGTAAATCCCCAAAGTCTGATTCTGTTCAACTGGACGTAGCGTTTTTAGAGGAAGAAACGTTTCGTCACACATCTAAGTGTCAGACTCACTCACTCATCCAAGTCCGACTGAAGAAGTAACTTGGATGAGTGACAAAATGTTTCCCCACTGAAAACACTGCATCCAGATGAACAGAATCAAACTTTGGGGGTCTGCTAACCTACGTTAGTGCTTGGCCTTTCATTCCTCTTCTCCTCTTACAGTGTCACCTAAAGATCGCTCCCTGCCTTTTCCCCCCTCCTGAGAGATATAAAAAAAAAGGCTTCACAACCAGCTGAATCCCCCACTGTGTGTCTTCAATTGTCTCACAACGCCTAACAGTGTGCAAGTTGTAGCTAAATGCTGTCTCACACATGTACAATTAAGTGACAAAAAAGCAATATTACCATAACATGTGACCAATAGATAAAATGAAATACATTTCCATGTTTTCTCTGTGCAATCTCAGCCACAACTCATACTACGTCTGTTTCCAAACTTCACCTGCCTGCCTCTCTGCCTTCGTTATATAGAATCGCTGGATAACTCCGCCTGAAATTCAGATACTTTATCTCCGATTGATATTCAGTCTGGTACAGTACCTCCATCTAAATGTGCTTTTGGTTCCACTCTCACACTCTGACCTACGCCGCCATAACACTATCATTTTTCACAGTTTGCTCTGTTTGGCTTCTTCTTTTCCTGGTTATAACTTTGTTTCTCCTCGTATCCCATAGGCCTTATTCAGGACCAGAAGAAAGCAGGTGGTGGACAAGAACCACCTCATCTGTCAGTCCAAGACATGAGTCACAAAATTCAGCAAGGAAGCAATTTTGTTTTACTCAGTGTGGTTTTAATAAGCTTTGAATACTATTTTGTCTGAACTTTTTTTTTTAAACTGTTTTGTCATCTGTTTTCAACTTTCTCTTAAGCCAAATACTGAAAAGGCTGTACGATATAAAGCCAACAACTTTTCAGTCAATATTTTTCAATTTTATTTTTATTATTATTATTATAACAATGATTTATTCTCTTCAATCTAAGAAGTATTTATGTTCGAATTCTGTGCTGTGTTTAGTATTTCCTTGAATGTCAGTTTTTTTAATGACTATAGTTTTGGGGTGGGGGGGTCATGTTGGTTCCCCTTTCTTGTCCAATTTGTATATCTTTGGTCAGCATCTATACTCATGAATATTTTCTTTTACACTTTTGTGGCTTTAAAAAGTTGTTCAAACCTTTATGATGGAGAATACAAACTTCCTGTTCAAGTTAAAGAATGGAGAGAAGACAGCCCTACAGCTTATCTTTGAATAACTGAACGCAGAGACTAAGACTGACAAACACAGGAAACACTGCGGACAACACAGAGGGAAGGTAAATACTAAGAGAACTAAACCAGTACCACAAGAGAAAAAATTGTCTGTTTTTTTTTGTCGCAATCGTCCACTGAAACCACACAGTGACTAAATTTCTACACTGTCTGTGTGTATAGAAAACAATACATGCATAGCATAACATTTTCACTGCTGAGCAGATGAAACCCAACTTTATCTATCCATGAAACCAGAGAACACACACCAGTTACTTAAAATGAAGGAATGTCTTAAAGGTATAAAGACCTGGATGACCTTTAATTTTCTGCTTCTAAATTCAGATAAAACTCATGTCACCGTATTCAGCCCTGAAAATCTTATAAACATGGTGTCTCACCAGATACTCACTATGGATGGCATTACCCTGGCCTCAAATAACACTGTGAGGAATATTCGAGTCATTTCCTTTAAGGCACATATTAAACAAATATGTAGGACTGCTTTCTTCCATTTGCACAATATCTCTTGTGTATGTCTCATTATCCTGTCTCAAAGCGACGCTGAAAAACTAGTTCATGCATTTTTTTTACTTGCAGGCTGGACTACTGTAATTTATTATTATCAGGATGTCCTAGAAGTGTCATGAACCGTAGTTCTAGCACACAAGCTGGACCCAAAAGCAAACACAATACGCAGAAATGCACACAAAACAAACTTTAGTTTTCAACCAAAGGTGACCCGGAATAACCAAAGAGAACACGCTGCTTTGGCGCTACACAGAAGAGACCGGGAAATAAACGACACGGGGACGCCGTAATCGGGACCGTTTAAACCTGGAGGAATGAGTGCCCGCAGGAGAGGATTTCAGGGAGACGAAGAGGATGATACGCGGTTTCTCTGAAATCTAGGCGGTCAGGAGGACAGGCAGGTGAAGGTACGAACTTGCCGGACAATAACCACTGAGTGGCGACTGACGGACTGCATCCCATGATGCTTTAAGTATTTCTTCTTCAGTCTCAGTTCTTATCTTCAAATAGCCTTGGTACCCATGAGAGGGGCCAACAAACAAAAGAAAATAATCATGCACTGAAAAAAGAACAAACAACAAACAGCATGCAGACACATGACCACAAAGGAAGTGTTTGAAGCTTGTGCAATGTCTAGTTGCTGCTGGTTACTTCGAAATATGTCTGTTAGGAAATTTGCACGACAAAACTGAACATAACACACATGAGACAAGGTAGCTTCAAAATAAAACACTTTGAGCTTAACAATAGGAGAGGGAATAAGAAACAAGACATGAAATACACGACAGACTGTGGAGATGAGATGAAACACAAGGAGAGCAACACCGGAAAAGGCAAGGGAGATGAAATACAGAGACACCACCAAGAGGGCGAGGGAGACTATAGAGTGTGCTAAATGCAGAGAAGAAGACTATAATAGATGGGACATGACAACAAGTCATGTCGTACCCTCAACTAGCTGTGTGTTCTGCGTCTATGTTCCTAGTGTTTAGTCTCCTGCTCCAGTTTTGTATTTCTTTTCCAGTGTCTCAGTCCTTGGTTCCTCTGTTCAGACTTTTGTTTGTCTTTTGGTGAGTTTAGTTTGTACTAGGTTTTTCCCAGCAATAAAGCTGCGCTTTAAGTTTCACTTCTGTGTCTGAGTTCTGCATTTTGGGTCCACCACTCCTGCCTGCCTGCCACACAGCGATTCATGACACTATGAACTAATGCTGACACAGCTATTGAGGAAAAATGTGTTTCAGCATTCAAATTGGACAATCATCTGCCCTCTTACGATGAGTCTGAGAATACAATCCAGAAATTGTCGCCACCATCCTTATCGTGTCTCTAAACACTGGGAATATCATATTCTGATTGCTTAAGAGCCAATGCTTTAAATGAATGTTTATAAAATACATGTTTCTAACACACTGCAGTATATTTTTATCAGATAGAAGAGGATAGAAGTTTCTCACGCTGCCATATGTGACAGGCACAAACACTTTAAATCAACAGGAAACATCAGACATTTGGTATCAGCTAACCACATGTTAAAATTTCACACATGGTTACTTCCTCATTTAGTTCTGTCTTGATACCTCAGTCATCTGTTTAAATGGTTGTCTTTCTTTCTTTTGTTCAAACTGATGCTTGTCCGATCACACAGAACATTTTCTACTTCCTCATGATTTACATTTAAGTTATTTTCTTGTTTCTTTATGTATTTACATGCATGTACTTACCTTTTATGTTCCTCTGTGGATAGTTGCTCATGCATGCTCAACTATAGGATTGGGTGGATTTATCCGTGCTTGAACAAATAAAACTAATCATAGATTTATTTATATTACAGCAGTGTGTGTGTGTGTGTGTGTGTGTGTGTGTGTGTGTGTGTGTGTGTGTGTGTGTGTGTGTGCGCGCGCACCTTTTAGAGAGGAAGGGGAGATGGGCAAAGGCGGCAGTTACACCATTCAAGGGTGTCTGTGGATGCAGGAGGAGGACCGCTAGTCATCATGATACTCCTGCTTGGGAGGGAATCCAGAAAGTGTGTTTTTGCAGCAGATGTGCACCAGAGATAACCTGTTAACCTCGGCCTCCAACTCATTCTTTTACCCCGATGGTTTTCTACATTGTTTTCATTAAATCTTACCCCTTCACCCCAAGACCGTCTGGATCATAACATATACATTTTGTCATTTTGTGGTGAATAAATGGACAAACACATTGTCTGATTCTCGGCACCACACATATTGGTGTGAGCAGTGATTTTTTTTTTAATTCTTAAAAGAAAAAACAAGGAACAATCTTTTATTATTTCACAGATGTAAACACTGCTGCAGCAAAACATTACCTCAATAAACACATCTCATAAAAATATAACACATACAGTTTTATTCTGTCATTTCGCTGCTGGTTTCTCACAAATACTTCTGCGAGACACTTTGCAGGATGTATCAGACCAACTCTTCTGGTAACGATCACCTTTATCACCCATCATTACACAGTCGTCCTCTCTCCAGTTGTCCGGCTCCTTGTAGTTCCAATAAGATAAACTAGGAGATGAAGATCAAAAAGAATTGTCTCAGTAAACGTTGCTAACATTAATTTTGAAAATGGGATTTTTTTTCCCCCACATCAATCAAACCTTTCGTTCAGTGGTGATCCGTCCACCCACAACCATCTGCCCTGCTCTGCTGAGTCTGTCAGTCCGATCCAGAACTTGTCTTCATGATCCTTCATTATGCGTCTCACTTCTTTCCTCAGGAATTCCTAAACAGGAAAAGTTGATCAAAAATATTTTGTGACACTTCTCTTTGCTAAAGAAATGTAAAGATGTGGTTAAATATGTGAGAACCAAAACTTGCAGCAGTTTTTTATACCTGCTCCTCTCTGCTGTCTATCTTAACCAGGTCTCCTCCTTTAGCTCTACAGTCATCTCTGCTCTTCGTCCAGGATGATTTATTGGTAGAGAAGTAATAACACTTTCCTCCATGATGCTCCCAGCCTTCTTCACATTTAGAACATGGCTCACCTTTGAAGATATTAAAGAAAAACTTTCAGTCAGGTGGAAGAAACTGTTCATATTTGTGTGATTTGAAGGCAGCAGGAAGCTCCTTCTGTCCTGCAGGTACAAACTAAGTTACTGTTTCTGTGAGTCCATCAATGTTTCTTTAATCATCATCAGAGGACACAAATGTTTAAAAGAATAAATCCACAACTTATGTACCTGTAACTTCAGGAGGTTGTGGACATACAGGCTGCACTGTGCTGCATGGTTTTGCTTCAGAGTCTCTTTCTTGTACCATAAAGGAAATGTAGATTAGAGTTTTATTGGTTATTTAGTCTTTATGGCTTTTTTGCAGAACATAACAAAACTCTAACTGAAGTCAAATCATCGATGAATTGTTCTTAAATTAGTTTTAGTTATGCTGCAAACATTACTGGGAAAAATCTTTTTTTTAATCAGAAAATTGTGCACACTCACTGGTAACACAGAGGACAACAACAGCAGCAGCCAGAAGAGCACTGATAACCAGCAGGGCCACTCTCTCTGGGTTGACCTTTGACCTTGTGCTCTTCACATTTTGTTGAGAGGCCTCTAAACATTCAAATGTAACACATATCACCAAGGTGTGACATATGAGCATAAATATGTACAGGTTTTTGATACAACAATATGAATGCATGATTGAATTCTTTGTTACTTTGTGCAAATAATAATATGATAACTTATTTTTGTTTTTGGCGTTTGTATTCTGTGGTAATATTTCTACCAAATCTTCACCAAACATCATGCAAACTAATTACTTACAGTGGGGCAAAAAAGTATTTAGTCAGCCACCGATTGTGCAAGTTCCCCCACTTAAAATGATGACAGAGGTCAGTAATTTGCACCAGAGGTACACTTCAACTGTGAGAGACAGAATGTGAAAAAAAAATCCATGAATCCACATGGTAGGATTTGTAAAGAATTTATTCGTAAATTAGGGTGGAAAATAAGTATTTGGTCACCTCAAACAAGGAAGATCTCTGGCTCTCACAGACCGGTAACGTCTTCTGTAGGAAGCTTTTCTGTCCCCCACTCGTTACCTGTATGAATGGCACCTGTTTGAACTCATCACCTGTATAAAAGACACCTGTCCACAGCCTCAAACAGTCAGACTCCAAACTCCGCCATGGCCAAGACCAAAGAGCTTTCGAAGGACACCAGGAAAAGTATTGTAGACCTGCACCAGACTGGGAAGAGTGAATCTACAATAGGCAAGCAGCTTGGTGTGAAAAAATCAACTGTGGGAGCAATCATTAGAAAATGGAAGACATACAAGACCACTGATAATCTCCCTCGATCTGGGGCTCCACGCAAGATCTCATCCCGTGGGGTCAAAATGATCATGAGAACGGTGAGCAAAGATCCCAGAACCACACGGGGGGACCTGGTGAATGACCTCCAGAGAGCTGGGACCAAAGTAACAAAGGTCACCATCAGTAACACACTACAACGGCAGGGAATCAAATCCCGCAGTGCCAGACGTGTTCCGCTGCTGAAGCCAGTGCATGTCCAGGCCCGTCTGAAGTTTGCCAGAGAGCACATGGATGATACAGCAGAGGATTGGGAGAATGTCATGTGGTCAGATGAAACCAAAGTAGAACTTTTTGGTATAAACTCAACTCGTCGTGTTTGGAGGAAGAAGAATACTGAGTTGCATCCCAAGAACACCATACCTACTGTGAAGCATGGGGGTGGAAACATCATGCTATGGGGCTGTTTTTCTGCCAAGGGGACAGGACGACTGATCCGTGTTAAGGACAGAATGAATGGGGCCATGTATCGTGAGATTTTGAGCCAAAACCTCCTTCCATCAGTGAGAACTTTGAAGATGAAACGAGGCTGGGTCTTCCAACATGACAATGATCCAAAACACACCGCCCGGGCAACAAAGGAGTGGCTCCGTAAGAAGCATTTGAAAGTCCTGGAGTGGCCTAGCCAGTCTCCAGACCTCAACCCCATAGAAAATCTGTGGCGGGAGTTGAAAGTCCGTGTTGCTCGGCGACAGCCCCAAAACATCACTGCTCTCGAGAAGATCTGCATGGAGGAATGGGCCAAAATACCAGCTACTGTGTGTGCAAACCTGGTAAAGACCTATAGTAAACGTTTGACCTCTGTTATTGCCAACAAAGGTTATGTTACAAAGTATTGAGTTGTATTTTTGTTATTGACCAAATACTTATTTTCCACCCTGATTTACGAATAAATTCTTTACAAATCCTACCATGTGGATTCATGGATTTTTTTTTCACATTCTGTCTCTCACAGTTGAAGTGTACCTCTGGTGCAAATTACTGACCTCTGTCATCATTTTAGGTGGGGGAACTTGCACAATCGGTGGCTGACTAAATACTTTTTTGCCCCACTGTAACAGGGCAGTGAAAGTCCTGATATTATGAATCTCCTTTGTTATTTTGTCTTTTAATATTGTACGATTGAACAGAATAAATACTGAAATGTTATAAAGTGGTTTGAGGTAACAGTTCTTGTCTTTTGTGACTATGTAAATAAACATAAATAGAATTGAATTCAACTCAATTAAAGCTTTTGAAATAACTTCTTTGGCTGAGATAGGTAAATGAAACCAAGCACAGAAAAAGTAAACAGAGACAATAATTGCTCATTACTGCTCTTTACCTACCAGGCAGCTCCTTTGTGGGCGGCTGAGACTTTGAGATCCTTACGTCTGCATGAGTGGTGTAACCCTCTGCAGCAAAAACATGAAGCCAGAAATGACTGCTTACTTTGAAGTGAGTTACTGTTTGCTGCTAATAACGCCTTCAATTCACAAGAAGACTAGCTTCAACAAAAAGAAGTGTAGAAGGAGAATTTTCTTATATATCTCATATGTATCACAGTAAGTAGACAAGACTCACCGTTGGCCTCCCTCTTCCATCTAAAGGTTACGATAGAGTTCAGTACTTCATCTTCAGACATTTTACTGCTTTGTGACCTTCAGTTAGTCAAAGAGAGTTCAACGAGATGTAGACATAAACAAACTTCCTGTTAAACAGACGAATGGGGAGGGTTTCATAAACCACTGCTCCACAAATAACAAGTGTTACTGGTTATATGCACTGTGGCTGATAAGAACAAAAGGCTTGTGATTTGAATTCTTTTGATCTCTTCTGAATTTATTGTAACTAATTGTTTAATCTCCTCCTATTTCAATACCCTGTCTTATAGAATAAACCTGCAAAGTGTTTCTTAATGATATGTAATTCATAATGATGGATAGACTCACCATTAGTTTCCCTCACTTGTCTTTTTAAATCTTTTCAGTTTCATTGTACAGGAGTACAAGACTTCATTTTCAGATATTTTACTTCTGTGTGACTATCAGCGAATCACAAAGTAAAGTGTAAAGCAATATAAAAATGCCTTCCTGTCAAACAGAAGAATGTATGATTTCACACATTTCACACACTTTACATATGTGAACATTTAAAAAATACTAGAATTTTGTCCTGTTGTACCTACGGGCAGCTATCATCACCATGATGAGCTTAGTCTTTGTTAGAGTTTATGGTTCGTCTGTTTCCTGTATCTCATTTTTATATCCATCTGAACTAAGAATACCACAAAGAACAAACATGAGAAGGATGAACAGGCAAGGTGAAAAATGAAATACTGAGTATTCACAGAAAACTCGAAACACTCCAAAACGTAAAATACTTACAACAGAAAACCTAACTATGAACTCAAACTAGGAACTTTGCACAGCAAACAGGTCAAACTCAAGGACTATGAAGATCCCAGGTTATAAATAAGTGTTAGCTTTCTAATGACTACAACTGGCTCGTGTTTTCTTTTACCTCACCTTACAACTAAGTCAGTGTTGGGTTACATTAGGATAATTCTGAACATCTGATTTGAATCAGATACTCAACTTTGACTTTTCTAACACACTGTAGTGTATTTAGATCAGATAGAAGAGGATAAAAGTTTCTCATGCTGCCATATGTAAGAGGCACAAACACTTTAAACCAACAGGAAACATCCGACATTTTGGTATCAGTGGTAACATTTCACACATGGTCATGGTCACTTCCTCATTTATTTCTGGCTTGATACCTCAGTCATCTGTTTAAATGGTTGTCTTTCTTTCTTTTGTTCAAACTGATGGTTGTCTGATCACACAGATCTTTTTGAAGCTTGAACTTTTTCTACTTCCTTTTAATTCTACATTTAAGTTATTTTCTTGTTTCTTTGTATATTTACATGCATGTACTTACCTTTTATGTTCCTCTGTGGATAGTTTGCCATGCTGAGGCTTCAACATGACCAGAGTTAGTCCAGTTGTTTCTGAATAAACAAATAAATAAACTATAAATGATGTATTTTACTCTTTAGATAAACACGAGGACTTTATGATTGGGTGGATTTATCCGTGCTTGAAGAAGTAAAACTAATCATACATTTATTTTTGTTACAGCTGTGTGTGTGTGTCTCTCTCTCTCTCTCTCTCTGTCTCTCCCTCCTCCCCTGCAGGACTTTTTAAATTTCCTTTCAGAGATAACCTGTTAACCTCGGCCTCCAACTCATTCTTTTACTCCGATGGTTTTCTACATTGTTTTCATTAAATCTTACCCCTTAAACCCCAAGACCGTCTGGATCATAACATATACATTTTGTCATTTTGCGGTGAATAAATTCAAAAATTTAAATTTTAAATTTTTTTTAATTCTTAAAAGAAAAAACAAGGAAAAATAAGGAACAATCTTTTATTATTTCACAGATGTAAACACTGCTGCAGCAAAACATTACCTCAATAAACACATCTCATAAAAATATAACACATACAGTTTTATTCTGTCATTTCGCTGCTGGTTTCTCACAAATACTTCTGCGAGACACTTTGCAGGATGTATCAGACCAACTCTTCTGGTAACGATCACCTTTATCACCCATCATTACACAGTCGTCCTCTCTCCAGTTGTCCGGCTCCTTGTAGTTCCAATAAGATAAACTAGGAGATGAAGATCAAAAAGAATTGTCTCAGTAAACGCTGCTAACTTTGATTTTGAAAATGGGATTTTTTTCCCCCACATCAATCAAACCTTTCGTTCAGTGGTGATCCGTCCACCCACAACCATCTGCCCTGCTCTGCTGAGTCTGTCAGTCCGATCCAGAACTTGTCTTCATGATCCTTCATTATGCGTCTCACTTCTTTCCTCAGGAATTCCTAAACAGGAAAAGTTGATCAAAAATATTTTGTGACACTTCTCTTTGCTAAAGAAATGTAAAGATGTGGTTAAATATGTGAGAACCAAAACTTGCAGCAGTTTTTTATACCTGCTCCTCTCTGCTGTCTATCTTAACCAGGTCTCCTCCTTTAGCTCTACAGTCATCTCTGCTCTCCGTCCAGGATGATTTATTGGTAGAGAAGTAATAACACTTTCCTCCATGATGCTCCCAGCCTTCTTCACATTTAGAACATGGATCACCTTTGAAGATATTAAAGAAAAACTTTCAGTCAGGTGGAAGAAACTGTTCATATTTGTGTGATTTGAAGGCAGCAGGAAGCTCCTTCTGTCCTGCAGGTACAAACTAAGTTACTGTTTCTGTGAGTCCATCAATGTTTCTTTAATCATCATCAGAGGACACAAATGTTTAAAAGAATAAATCCACAACTTATGTACCTGTAACTTCAGGAGGTTGTGGACATACAGGCTGCACCGTGCTGCATGGTTTTGCTTCAGAGTCTCTTTCTTGTACCATAAAGGAAACGTAGATTAAAGTCTTTATGGCTTTTTTGCTGAAGATAACAAAACTCTAACTGAAGTCAAATCATCAATGAATTGTTCTTAAATTAGTTTTAGTTATGCTGCAAACATTACTGGGAAAAATCTTTTTTTAATCAGAAAATTGTGCACACTCACTGGTAACACAGAGGGCAACAACAGCAGCAGCCAGAAGAGCGCTGAGAACCAGCAGGGCCAGTCTCTCTGGGGTGACCTTTGACCTTGTGCTCTTCACATTTTGTTGAGAGCCGTCTAAACATTCAAATGGAACACATATATCACAAAGATGTGAGATCGACATCCCTTCCTTATAGATTAACGTTCCTTGAGGCGACTGTTTTGGTGCTATGTAAATAAACCCGAATTAAACTGAAGCTTGTAAATAAAATCCTGGGCTGACTTAGGCAGAAAAAATTGAGCACAGGGAGAAAAATGTAACCAGGAGAGAAAAACTGTTCATGCTCTTTACCTACCAGGCAGCTCTTCTGAAGTTGTCTGTGAGATCCTGACATCTGAGTAAGTCAAATCAGCCAAAGAGGAAACAGGCTCTGGGCCTACAACGTAAAATGTGATTGCTACTCAGTATCACGTGAATTTCTGTTAACTTGTGAAGTATGGTGTTAGTGCATTTACAATACAGTGTAACAATTTTTGCAGACAAAATAACATTTCCACATACATCATGTATACAGTGCTCATTTGAGGACATGTCCTTTTATACTCGAGCTGATGTGCATGTTCTTTTCATTTTAGCCCACTTTATAGTACAGGCAGGCATACAACAGTGATTTAAAACATTTTATTGTTAATGTTATCTTTGAACAGTGAATGTGAAAGGAAAAAGTTAGACTTGGCTCCATCATTAAAAGACCACATAGGCCTACACATTTTGATGGCATTTATTTTTTTCTTGTACGTTACAAAGAACAGTCGTTCTCACATTTATATTGATATAATAAAAGCACAACTAAATAACTGAGCATCCATCATCCACATCGACATAATGAACATTAAATAAAGATACAAAAATATAAAGATATAAAAAGGCAGGAGCAATGTGGGCTCCACCCCCGTACAGTACAACATATTTTCAATGTAAGATGGGGAAATATTGTATTTTTCAACAAAAACATACCATGGGTACCAATTATACACTACTTAAGTTACTTACTTTGTACTTAGGATTACACTGTAAGTAATCCTTTCTTTGTTTCCTGTAATAACCTAACTTGTTACCCCCTTGTTCTAGTGTACCTACATTTAAGTATTTGGACATAAATATGATATATATATAAAATTGTAATTTAAAAAATACATTGAAATTGCATTGATGTACATTGTGATTAAGCCACATTATAAAGTGTAACCCATTAATATTCCAACTAACAAAAAGCCAATAATATTAAGCTGTATGCATATTAAATATAACTCATAAGTACACAAATAAATCAACTCACCTTTGGTTTCCATCGTCCCTCTTTTAAATTTGACATCAGAATAAACTATTTCAGCTTCAGGCATTTTACTCCTGTTTGACCATCGGTGAGTCTGAAAGAGACGTTTCACAGGCACAGACAAAATGGAAAACTAAAAAAAAAACCTTCCTGTCAAATCGACAAATGGGGAGGGCTTTACGAAGAACTGTTCCACAATATCAGACTGTTTTTTAAACTCGTGGTTATTAAAAAAAAATGCTCTACTTCCTTTTTTATGTGAATAAAATAAATTACAAATTTTCCATAACAAAGATGACGTTGAAGAGATGATGTTTGTATTCTTTTTAATGTTTTCAGAGGAAGTTCTTGATTAGATGCACTGTGAGTTTTATTAAGGAGTCGTAACTTGATTTTTGATCAAACTGAGGAATGATAATAAGCTAAATAAAATACGAAGACTCACCCTTCTTTCTTTCTCTCTGTGTGTGTGTGTGTGTGTGTGTGTGTGTGTGTGTGTGTGTGTGTGTGTGTGTGCACTTTGTTACAGAGGTAAAGGGTTGCCAGGGTCTCTCTCCCACTAATCTTGTATAAATGCCATACCTGGTGACACTATAAGTCACCAGGGGCCGGTATTAGATGATGTTTGTCCAAAATTTTGGTCAATCTGCAGGTCTAATCTACTAATAAAAAAAGAAGTTTAAAATGATTTAATATATCTTACAGTAGGTGCTTTGGCACACAGGAAAACAGATATCAAGAAAAGAAATGTCACTGTGCTAACTACTACATCACCATGCCTGCTTTTAATCATAGCTGTTCATTTAGGTCCATGAGTATTTGAAAAATGATGATATGATGACAGATAATAAATCCACCAATCTATATGTGATTGAAGTGCAGATGTTTCTGTGTTAATTTAAGAGGTTTGGCAGAATTACAACTATTTGTATAGATTACAGCAGACTCATTATGCAGAGAAAGCTTTCCATGACTTAAAATTTGCACTACAGACTGCACTAACTTTAGGATTATCATATCCTAATAAACGTTTCACCCAGACAGTGGATGAAAAAGGTGGATACTTAAGCTCTGTTTCGATACAGCAGCACGGGGAGTGACAAGGACCAGCAGGCCGTCCTCTACCTGCATGCAGCAGAAACAGCTGAAAAGGAAGCATTTATTAGCTGCTCCTATGTTATGTGTCACAGCCATATCAGGGCCTCCTGAAACTGCCTTTGTGTGGGTGTGGTGTTCTCTCTCCGCCTCCTCCTCTTTGCTTGCTCCACCCTTCTGTCTCTTTCTCACTCTCCTCTCTCCCCAGGACACAGATGCTGTTCATTGGCCTCGTTTACCACCTGGGCCCAGTCAGAAATCACCTCTCTGAGGTTGTATAAGCTGGGGATGAACTGGATGTGGGAGGGTGGTTTTCTCTGGTGTCTCCACATTGTGTTCTAGGTGTCGAAAGAGGTCCTGTTATGAGATTGTCCTGCCTGTGGTGTGGAGTTGTAGGAGCAGTGGGGAGAGTAGCTGCTTCATGTGAGTATCGCGGGCTTGTGGGCCTCAGTAGCAGTGGAGCTTGCTGCTAGTGACAGGGTGGGCCTGTGGGCCCCCGGAAGTGCCTCATGGTGTGGAGTTTTGTTCTTTGTTGTTGCGACCTTTTTCTTTTTCTAGAGTTATTGGTAAAACGGCATTGCTGGCTCTTTCAGTTAAGATTATCTATAATAAAAACTATAATATTTGCTAAAAACTTCAGTCTGGTTTCCTTTCATTCTGTTCTGGACCCATTTGTTACCAGTCCCCACACACACCCCTAGACCTCCTTCATGGGGACGTAACATATGTTATCTCATTGTATTACTAGAAAGATTACATTTCACAGTAAAAGATGTGATATGCTAAACCCAGTTTCACTTCTCCACACAGAAGCAGATGGTGAACCACAAGATTTTAGAGCTGCTTTCTGAAATCTGCTCCTCCAGACCTGACCTACAGGACATACCACTGGCAAGCTCTACTCCGGTGGTGTTTGTGGATAGTTCGGCATCACGCATCCCAGACAACCCAATAGGATATGCAGTGGTCAGAGAACATTTAGTCAGGATCATTACTAGTGATGGGTAGATGAGACCTCGTGAAGCGGTTCAGCACATTCCCCAAACTGTATCGATACAGTGTCGACACAGTGTTGCTGTTTTACTCCATACTGACACCTGCTGGACCTTAAATATCATTGCAGGCAACTTGAGACTCACAACAGACACTGATTCAATGATCTAATCATACTTGTATACACTATAAGGTATTGTACTTTCCATGGAATAATTTTATATATTTTACATGCAAATATTTTAGACATCTTTAAAATATATTGTGAATGACATTAAGTGAAAATTAAAATGAAAGTATTGTGAATGTAATATTACCCATTTAAATGTAATTGACTCAGAGTTTTAAAAGATATATTCGTTAAAGAATCCTCTGGGCCCTATTTCAGGAAGCCAGTTTAGAAAACTCAGAGTGAAAAACGATACTCAGGGTTGAGTAACCCCGAACTGTCCAACTCGGAATATTCGGTTTCAGAAAGGCTGATAACAAGTAGTTCAGTCAACGCGGAGTTGCTTTAACCCCAAGTTAAACGCGCGCACGAGGATACATAAAGCCCTGATTAGTGGAGCACAGATTAAGCGAGTCACCATGGAGACGGAGGGAAAGAAGGCGCGGTCAATGTATTTTACAGCGCTTGAGGCCGAAATTCTGATGGCAGCATATGCCGATAACATGCAAATTTCGCGGAAAAAACACAGCCTCAGCTGCAAAAGAAAGGGAGCATGCATGGCAAAACATAGCCGACAGAGTCAATGCGTGAGTGTTAATTTAAACATTGATCTAGGGATTTCCACCCATTCAACACGTTATTTTATTTTATTTATTTATTTTTTTTTATTTCATACATTTTATTTTGTGATGTGATTTGAGCGCAGGTGCAACCCAACAGGCCCCCAACGTTCCTGGCAGCAAGTAAAAATGAAATATAAAAATATAGTCCAAACAGGTAAGGTGTAATTGTATTACGAGCCATAGTGCTTGGTCTGTTTGTCCGATGTAAATCAATTGCAGTTAGAGGCTACATTAATTTCCCCTCTGTAAGCACTTATTGAAATTATCTGAGCACATTACAAGTACATATTTGCTTACTCTGTATGCTCAAATGTGACCCGTTATAGCCAACAGAAAAAAAAGCGGAGGCCCGAAAAACAGGTGGAGGTCGTCCACCACCACCACTCACAGAGGCTGAGCAGTTGGCTTCCATATTTGTGATAATGTTGGCAGCATCACATATGATCTTCACAGTGCAGAGAACACAAATTAGCATCCATTACTATAATGGAATTATTTGTTAGTTTGAAATGCTACAGGGAACTATGTACCTGTACATTAATGCTGTGGAAAGACTTCCTGTTCACATAGTCTCCTTCATTTACTGAAGGAGCAATGATTGGAATGTGAGTGCCATCTATACAGCCAATCACGCCTGGGAACCGTGAAAATAAATGTAAAATTTAAGTAGTAGGCCTAGTTCAAATATCACCACATCATGAATTAAGTTTCGTTCATCCTGCTACCTGCAATTTTGTGGCATCCCTCTTTGATAAATCTTGTGGGTCTATGACCGGGGAACACCACAAACGAGTACAGGAGACGTTTCAGTGCAACTGTAACATTCCTGACTGCCCGACAGACGGTAGCCTTGGAAACGTGCTCAGCGTCACCAGTATTATACAGAAAGCTCCCGTTTGCAAAAAACCGAAGTGCAATACAAATAATATGTACAGAACTGAGAGAATGTCCACGATGTGTCACATGAGCAATATTAAGCCTGAGGATGTTATTCAAATAACTTATAGATTGTGCTGAAAAACGGTGACGTTCACACAGAAAATCATCAGGAAATGATAAAATGTCCGAACGCGCTCTAATCACTCTCTCCCGGCGGAGAGCTCTGTGGAGAATTTGGGCTTCAACATCTACTGGCTCTTCAAGGAAGGAGCACGCCATGTCTGACACTTCCTACAGTCAGGTTTCCGACACAGAGGCGGAGAAAGTCAGGGTTAGTTGAAGTAAACCTGCTAGGGGGCAGGTTAGCTTCACGGAGTGTGTCGTCATAGTAACTCACTCAGGATTAATCTAAACTCGCTTTGTGAAACCGAAAACCCAGAGTTTCCGTTAACTCAGGGTATACTTACTCAGATTTTGCACTAAACCGGCTTCCTGAAATAGGGCCCTGGACATGAACCTCCGAAACAAGGCGTAGAGAACATGATGTGAACAACAGACAACCTGACAAAGAATGAACAGAAACACACAGACCAAATACACACAAGGGTGATTAGGGGGAAGTGGAAACACATGGGGAAACAGCTGACACTAATCTGACATAACGAGACAAAGGAAGCAAAGCTGACTACACTGACATAGGACACAGACCTTCAAAATAAAAGAGGAAATGAGATGCAGACTAGACAATATAAACTTGACAACATAAGACATGAAACCGGGAAAGGGAAACTTAAATACAGGGGTAGAAAACACAGAGACACTAATAACAAATAAGATAAGATAAGATAAGATAAGATAACCTTTATTAGTCCCACACGTGGGAAATTTGTTTTGTCACAGCAGGAGTGGACAGTGCAAAAGTTATGAGGCAAAAATTAGAATACAATAAGAATAAATACAGTACACAACTGTACAGAATAGAATAAAATAAAATACTATATACAGTAGAATAAAATAAAATAAATATACAATAAGATAAAAATAGAATACAAATACAAATACTATATACAACTGAGTAAAAATACAACGATGACAGAAAGGATTATTGCACTTAGTATTATTGCATATGTATGGATGTGTGTGCTTGATCAGTTAAAGTCTAAATGAACTTAGCTACCCTAAAGAACACATAACATCCAAATAAACTAAACTCAAAACACTGGGTCAACAGATCCAGGAACATGACATTTATGTCTTTAAGGTCAATTATGGTGTTCCACAGGATTCAGTGCTAGGACTAATTCTGTTTATATTATACATGCTTCCCCTAGGCAGCATCATTAGAAGATATAGCATAAATCTTCACTGCTATGCTGATGACACCAAGCTCTATCTGTCCATGAAGCCAGATAACACACACCAAATAGTTAAACTGCAGGAATGTCTTAAAAACTGAAATTAGATTTTACCCTTTATATAAAAAAGTTATTATCATTTATTAAATGTTTAAAGTAAGTCCTTACTTTGGTTCTTTGTCACACCACTGCAGTCTGAATGCAGACATTTAAAAGAAGCTAACAAAGTCAAAATGGTTAAAGTTAAAAGCAAGTGAAAAACCAGCCATGTTCTGCTTGAAAATAACTGCAGAAAATGTGAGGCCACCTCATTACTTGAGGCCACCTTTGAAAAATGATGACAAAGTCTGGAATATACGGAATTAAAAAGATAGAAATGATTGAGAGGTGGCTCTAGATTTTGCACAGTGTTGCAATTTTGAATAACTGTACATCAGTGAATACCCTTACAATCACAAACTGCAAGTGTGTGTTTATGTTACTATTTTTAAAATGCAAGTTTGTCATATTTGTCACTTATCATATCTGTTACTTATGGTTAAATGCTTTTCTTACATTTCAGTTCCACAGACCAAAGTTTGCTGATACTTAAGAAGATACAAGACATCTGTTTCCACTACACAATGAGAATTTATTTGGTGCAAGCCTGGCGATACCTAATTAAGGGTAAAACAAAGTTAAACATAGTACTGGTCAAATATAAGATGTGATAACATTTTATAATACAGTTGGCAACACATCATAGCTTTACATCATCTGTCATGTGTTTCTGTTCAATTTAGGGTGCAATTATAAGTAATTCCAAATAAATATTTAATTAATTTGTACCTTTGATTTATTCTAAATTACAGAAAAAAAGTTATATTATGAAAAGTGTGCTCCCTTCAAAAGCATACACAAACCGAGTTTTGCCTTCTCTTGTTTTACTTAAACAGAATTATTTGGATTATTATTAATATTATTATTTGGAGGTAAAGTTAAGGTACTTTAACTGCTAATAAATAGGGCAGTGAAGGTGATAACTGTCACGGTCCAGTGTCGGTAACAGAGTTTGTTTTTTTAGTTTGGTTTTTGTGTTCCCTCTGTTTACTGTCTGTACCATGTCTCCATACATTTCCGGTTTTATTGTGAAGGTCCGTGTCTCATGTGAGTGTATTCTGTTTCACTTCCTTGTCTCGTCTTTCCCAATCAGTCCCAGCTGTGTTGCCACCTGTTCCTCGTTCCCTCTTGTGACTGCCTGCGTATTTATAGTGTGTATCATCTGCTCATCGCTGGTTTGTCTGTGCATTTTCCTGTGTGGGTTCCCCGAGTCTCCCTGCAGCTCCCTTTCAAATCTATTGTATTTAGTTGTCTCCAGTTTAGGTATCCTCAGGTTCTGTTTCATGCCCACTGCGTGTCTGTTTATTTCACCTCCCCAATAAAACTCCCTTGCATCTGAAAGCAGCCTGCATTTTGGGTCCTTCGTTAAATTCCTCACTGTTTGCCCCACGAGCCGTGACAATAACTTTCTTATTTTTTGCAGACTGGAGACAGCTGGGATCAACTGGCCATTCCAGAAGAATGATTACCAGGCTGCTGAACGCTGCCTACCGAAGCCCTATGCAGCGTCTAAGAACTCGTCCACAAACTCTATCCGGTCCAGTGACTTTGTTGGGTTTGATGTGGCTCAGGGGTCGCTTCATTTCGTGGGTCCCTGTCGCCAATGGAGAGTCTTCTTTAGGCTGGTTCATATCATGGTGGGTAACACAAGTTTTCACATTTTTTTTAAAAAGTAAGAAAACTATTGCTGTATTCTTATTTTTTTTTTAAAAACTGTCACCACAGAATTAAACACAATTCTTGTAACTTCTAAAACAAAATCGATTGCTCAAAAACAAGCAATTGTGGGAACATAATTCTAAATAATTACAGTGCAAATATTAACTTTTTCTTTTTAGGTTTTTATTACTCCTTCCAAGTACTCAGATATCATCTCCAACAGTGATCTGAAATCTAAAGGACCTCCTGCTGTCTACCAGCTGAGATCAAAGAACGTGAAGTCTGGAACTTTTACAAGAATTACTGTTGGTGAAAAAAATCAAAACAAGCCAAATAAAACCATCTTACTTGTGGGTGAAACGGGAACAGGAAAATCTACTGTGATCAACGCTCTAGTCAACTTCACCATGGGGGTACAGTTTGAGGATGGAGTCTGGTTTCAGATTATAGATGAGGAGAAGAGAAGTCAGACAGAAAGTCAGACATCAGATGTGATCGTGTACGAGATCTTTGATTTTAAAGATAACACTCTGCCCTATTCTCTGACCATCATTGATACGCCTGGATTTGGAGACACCACAAGTACTAAAAGGGATGAAAGCATCAGTTAAAGACTATTAGACTTGTTTCAATCAGATGATGGAGTTAACAAAATTCATGCAGTGGGTCTGGTGATGAAGGCAAGTGAGATTCGACTGAGTGACCGACAGAGGTACATCCTTGATTCAGTGGTGTCTTTGTTTGGAAAAGATCTGGAGAAAAGCATTGTTGCTCTCATCACACACTCAGATGGAGTAACACCTGAAAATGCTCTCAAAGCTCTCGAAATTGCAAAAATTGAATGTCCAAGAAATGGAAATAATGAGCCTGTTCACTTCCTGTTTAATAACCAACAGAGCAAAGAGAGAACAGAAAAAATGAATCTTGTTTGGAGACAGCATGGAGAATAACAGAGAGAGGAATGGATGAGCTCACAGCTTTTCTAGAAAAACTGCACCTGAAAAGTTGTTGGTAACAACTAAAGTGTTACGTGAACGCAACAGACTGAAAGCCTGCATACAAAACTTGAAAGAGAAAATAAATGAAGTTGAAGTCAAGCAAACCGAAGCCAGACAGATAAAAGAAAAGTTAGAGAAACATAAAGAAGAGATGCAAAACAATAAAAATAAAAGGAAAGTCTGGCAGACATCAGAAGACATGAAAAAGAAGTATGAAAAACTGGAGGAGATCGCTCTGAAAGCTGTTTCAGCATCCACTTTTGTCCAAGAGCAGATGAGCCTTCTGGAACACCTTCAAGGGGAAATAAGCCAACTGGCAGCAAAGAAGTCACAGTTACTTGGTGAGAGCTACCAACAACTTGTCACACTGGAGGAGATGGCTCTGAAAGCTGATTCAGCATCCACTTTTGTCCACTTGGACTTCCTGATTGAGAAGATGAAGGAGGAACAAAACACAGAGAAGGTCCAGAAACTGGAGGAAATGAGAAAGAGAGTGGATGAAGGAACCAGAGTAGGGTCAAGGTATATGCAGGGAAAAAAACTAGAGAAGTGAAAAAGTGGGGTTAGGGGTAGGAATGGATGACTGAGCCTTTGTCCAGACAGAGACAGGAGAGGCGGAGTCCAACCCCCAAACGGGTTGCCCTGTTTGACCCCGGAAAAAGTTTTGTGAAAGGTTCTTCCTACTGTGTTCTATTCTGCTCATTTTCTGCCGATGAGCCGTGTTTTTGGTTTTTTTTTTTTGGGGGGGGGGGGTTGTAATTTTTTTTGTGTAGTTTTTTTTGTTCCCTGTTGGGTTTGTTATTCTATGTAATAATAATGGGAATTAAATAAGGTATGTATTTTATAAGTTTCTTTGTTATGATTTTGCTGTGAAAAAATAATTTAATAATAAAACAACAAAATAAATCAAATCAATTCAGTTTTATTTATAGACCACTAATCAGTTGCCCCAAGGCGCTTCATATTGTAAGATATGTGAGTACAAGAAAATAGTTATTATAATATGATGTGTTAAATTTGTTTAGATCACAGGAATAAGGAAGGATTTGTCTGTGTTTCAGTTTGGCTTAGCTGTAGGCCTGAGAGTGTGTAATTGTTTAGAGGGAAATGAATTTATTGACACTGGGGGTCTGCTGTCATAAAAAGAGACAGGAAGCTACAGTTGGGGGTTGCTGATGCTTGTACCTTCAATAAAAACTCATAATTGTTATAAACACGTTCCCTAAAATCAGTAAATGGCAACATAGACGCCACTAATAAACCATTTTATGCGCCCTCTAGAGCAGGAGTTAACTCCTGGTATGAAAATGCTAGAACAGCTGCTCGTGATCTAGGAAACAGTAATTGTTATGTCTGTTCAAAGGGTAATCCAGAACAGGTTATAGTGGGATACCCAATCTCAGGTTTTCCCCTGACAAAGATGCTATTCAATAATGATAAAAAGGGGCCCTTAACAGCAATCATGATGGAAGCGCGAGCAGAACTAAGTCCTTTAGATTGTTTACTCATATACGCAGGACAAGTCTCTGGTACAGATGTCAGCATGATTGACAACACTTCCTACCCTTGCATGAAGCGCCCCGAAGACTGGACTGAACCTCTTTCGCCCCGAAAACAGATGCGCCATCACCCAAATATCTCGATGACATGCATACACCGACCAAAGCTTAAGAACATAACTTATGACGCACAAAACTATACATTTTTTTCTGACTTTCCAGGAGCACGCTGTACCGAAACATGGCTATCAGCGAGTATTGACAGGACAGAAGATAGAGATATGTTTTCTTATATACAGGCATATGTTAGTAAGTATTCAGTAAAAATCTTGTATGCCCCCAACACACTGAACGACTCGTACTGGGGAGGCATATTAAAAGGCTATACAGCTTCGCGCCTGACCAGACCAATCCCACATGCTTATTGGATGTGCAATAATACCCTTAGATTAGCTTTACCTGTTAATTGGACTGGTACCTGTGGTCTAGTAACTTTAGCTCAAGAACTACTAATACAACAAACCTCGGACCTGCCTGTATCCAGCAGACGTACAAAACGCTCCGCTTACTCACATAACGTTTACATAGATGCTATAGGAGTTCCACGCGGGATACCAAAGGAATTACAGGCACAAGGAGAAATATCCGCAGGGTTTGCCTCAATACTACCGTGGATACAGATAAACAAAAATGTAGCCTGGATCAATTATGTTTATTACCATCAGCAAAGACATACCAATCTGACCAATACGGCCCTTAAGGCCCTAGGAGAACAGATGTCTGCTACCTCTTTAATGACCATGCAAAATAGGATGGCCTTAGACATGCTGTTAGCTGAGAAAGGAGGTGTTTGCGCGATGTTTGGAGATGTTTGCTGTACTTTCATTCCCAATAATACCGCCCCTAACGGTTCATTCACACAAGCTATGAATAGACTTGAAGCATTGCAGATAGAACTAAGAGCCAATGCAGGTCACGGTCAGTGGCTAGACAAGTGGCTGCAGGATACGTTTGGAAAATGGAAGGAACTAATTGTAGCTTTTGTAACCATTGTAGCATGTATCATTTTGTTTTTGATGATTATTGTCTGTTGTGTGATACCCTGTGTACGCTCAATGATAACCCGTATAGCTAGTAGTACAGCTACTTCAATGTATTTGCAATTGGCACAAATTGACCCAGATTATGTGCCAGATGTCATGAATGATGATCCTGATGTATGTATTGAGCATTAGATTGGGAATTACTCGATTATTCAAGAAGAGACCAGTCACATTTATGATTTGTCTTTATATTATGTTATTGCATTTGTGATTTTTTTTTAGTTATTATTTTAAATATAATAAAAGAGTGGAACTGTTGTGAATTTTAGCACTACGGTTAGCATTTACAGGATATTGTTTTGTAGTGATATTATACAGGAAAACTGTTACTCAATAAGGCCCATTTACTAGTTGTTTTTCTCTTTCTTTGTGACTAATGAATTAATGTGTAAGAATCACAGGCTGGTACCTCAAGGTCGAAAATACCACAGAGATCACTTCCTTACTCCCATCCTCCCTTCCTTATCTCTTAGGAAAGGGCTTGTTAAAGGCCAGGTGGTTCGTTTCAGAATTCACTAATGAAAGAACTCTGTATTCTATGTCTAGGAGTGTATTTTGCTGGGATGATCATAAATTGTAGCTGAACTGATAAACTACACAAAGGATACTTCTTTGCTCACAAGGCAGGAAGACGTTTCCTTATTTGGTCTGTACCGGTTTGAACTGAGAATCTGCTGACACACGAACCTTTTTCCTCTATATATTGTTGTATGATGAATAAACCTTTGAGTTGGTTTGGGAAAGCAACCTGAACAGTCTCTGTGTCGCTTTGTTCTCTCAAGCTACTCCCGACGTCGTAACTAACCCGCTGAACGGCATACCTGAGTGTTACTTGAGAACAATTTTGAATCTTAAACAAAACTCTGCTGATAGGTGCCCACGCCTCGGAGGAAACCCGATCCACGGATGACCCGGGACGGAGATTTCTTTCAATTTGGTGTCAGAAGTGGGATTCGCTGACGAAGGTAAATACGTGTCTTTTATATTTATATGGGACTGTATTATACCGTTCTCAGTGACCCATAAAGAAACGGGATATGCTGACGAAGTTTTCCTTAGTGGCCCAGATAAATGGGATACACTGATGAATCTTCCTTAGTCCCCGAATAAAGTAAATTAAAAGCAGAGAGACACAGGAAGTTGCCTGTTGTCTTGCGAGAAGTTGCTCGTTAAGTGAGAAGTTGCTCACCCAAAAAAAAAAAAAAAAAAATTGCTAGCAATAAAATCGAAAGTAACACTCAGCTGTACCTCAGCAAAAATACTAACATAAATCTAACAGTTCTGAGGGATAAGCCTCTTAAAATTTTCTAACTAGAAATATATGTTAAAAAGAAAAAAAAAACAATTTTAAATTTTTTTGTAGTTTATTGTATTTATTGCAATTTATGTAATTATTAAAACTTTGGCTATAATGGTTGTATTGATGTATATCAACTTGAAATACACCCAAAAATGGCACTACAGCATATAAAAATATAATATAAGCTCTGGCGGACTTGGTTCTATGGTTCTAAGGTTTGAGATCTGCCTATAATTAGCTAAGACAGCTGGGTCTGGGGATGGCTTTTTATGTAACGGTTTAACTAGAGCCATCTTGAAGGCCTGTGTTACATAGCAGATTATTAGAGATAAGTTGATCATATTTAAGGTTGAAGCATTAATTAATGGCAGGACTTCTTTGAGCAGGTTTGTAGGAATGGGGTCTAAAAGACACGTTGATGGTTTAGAGCAGTGGTTCCCAAACTTTTTTGCTAGGCCCCCCTTTGTTTTTACAGGAAAAATGTTTGCGCCCCCCCCCCCCCCCCCCCCCCACACACACACACACGCACTAACACATCCTCCAACCACACACACCCATATTTTGCTCCATTGTGATTTATTTCACATCTCACACATTTAGTAAACAATTAAGCAAATACAAGTAGTCTGCAATAAATGACAGGTAGTAAGAAAACAAACTACTAAACCCCAAAACACAGACTTAACAATGTGGTGTATGCTGTACAGTGCAGCGAGGAATGCTCAGACCTCTACATTGGAGAGACCAAACAGCCACTTCACAAGCGCATGGCACAACATAGAAGAGCCACCTCCACAGGACAAGACTCAGCAGTCCATCTGCATCTTAAGGATAAAGGACACTCTTTCGAGGATGCCAATGTTCACATTTTGGACAGAGAGGACAGATGGTTTGAAAGAGGAGTGAAAGAAGCTATCTATGTCCACTGTGAGCGACCATCTTTGAACAGGCGGTGGTTTACGACACCAACTCTCTGCCATCTATAATCCAGTTTTGAGTTCCCTCCCCAGACGACTTAACGCCCACTCACATCCTGGGCCGTCTGACCTCAGGAATTCGCATGATAAGGTGGGGCCAGGTTTCACAACAAGCTCATCCGAAACCCTGGCTGATTGGGACCCACACCCAGTTTCACACCTTGGCTCAGGCGATTAGAGGATCATCAGGGGTCCTTTTGTCCCTCTGTGGGGGGATACTCCCACTAGGTTTAAATCTGGGACTCTCCACCATTTGACCTTAGAACTGAAGAAGCTTCTCGGATGAGAGGTGAAACGTCTTCAAGCAACTTAAAGAAGTCCAGATGCTTTTCTTTGCAAGCTCCTTTGACTAAACTACTAACTCTTTTAAGCTACGTCCACACCGTTTTTGAAAACGCAGCTTTTTCGTCCACACGTAAATGGCATTTTCAGTGGCACAGTTTTCACTGATTACTGCACAGCTGGACAGAACAGGCAAATTTAAAAAAAATCATTAAAACATAACGACAACGATTAGAGTTACACTAATAGAGTGTTACACTTTTAGACTGTATCTTAGTGGGAGTCTTTATTTGTGTGGAGTTCATTTGTTCAGTTGGAGGAGTGGAACAAGAAAAACTGGAAAATTTACATACTGACAGGAGGGAGGAGTTCTTGTGGTTAGAGTTTCAATGAAATCATTTGACTGTAGAGCATTAGTCCCTCCTCTGATGTAGTATAAGAGATCTTAACTTTCAATGCTCCTTGTTTTTTCCACCTTTTCAGAATCAGAGAAATTCCTGAAATAATCACGGGAGGTAAGATAACATCAAATGACTGGAACACGCAAGCTAGACTTAGCTATAAATGAATGACTTGATGAAGTTGATTGCTACTTACTGGGGATGGCTATAACTCAGGGGATAGCAGGTTATTTACTAATTAGGTGGTTAGTGGTTCATTCCCTGGCTGGCCCAAGTTATTCTCCACCCTGCATTTCACCAGTGTGTAAATGTTAGACAGAATTCACTGAAGCATAGGAAAAAGTGCTCGTATCAATGGTTGAATGAGGTGTATTGTGTAAAGCGCTTGGACTACTCTAGTAGCAAAGGGTTATTTAAGAACAAGTCTAAATAAATCACCAAATTAAATATTTCACTAATTACGTTTTATTAACTTTAAAAACTGAAATTAGATTTTACCCTTTTTATAAAAAAAATTATAATTTATTAAATGTTTAAAGTAAGTCCTTACTTTGGTTCTTTGTGACACTCCTACATTATTAAACAGCTGAAGCGGACAAGCAAAAAAAAACAAAAAACGAATGAATAACAATTAAAAAATGAAGACAACCAGCAGAGTTACACTAATAGAGTGTAACTTAGTGGGAGTCTTTATTTGTGTGGAGTTCATTTAATCAGTTGGAGAAGTGGAACAAGAAAAACTGGAAAATTTACATACTGACAGGAGGGAGGAGTTCTTGTGGTTAGTTTCAATGAAATCATGTGACTGTAGAGCATTAGTCCCTCCTCTGATGTAGTATAAGAGATTTTAACTTTCAATGCTCCTTGTTTTTTCCACCTTTTCAGAATCAGAGAAGTTCCTGAAAGAATCACGGGAGGTAAGATAACATCAAATGACGGGAACACGCAAGCTAGACTTAGGTAAAGTTAGGCGCACCGGCACAAAAGTTAGGCGCACTCAAATTTTTCAACCGCATCACTTAACACCGCAGTTTTACATGTGTACTTTTTTTGGGGGGGGGGATTGCAGTCCATACAGACAATATTAATTTCTAAATTATTAACTAACAATCTTGTTCTTAAAGTGCTTTGTCAATATTGTAGAAAATGTTAAACTTAATCATCATCTTGGCTTCTGACGATCTGTTTGCTGTTGCATGCTGCTGAAAGGCAGTGGGGAGAGGGGACACTTGGGCAGTGCATTTATTGCAGAATATAATGTTTTCTGGATACACTGTGCTTTTTTAGCATTCAAAGATTGGTGGCACCATGTCAGAGCACTACCTATGAATTTCAGAGGGATCAGGCCTTAACTTAACAAAAAAGTTATCAGTAGTTCTTTTCATCTTTTCTTGTTACCCACAGCTACATCCACTTCTCTCAGGCCTAGGCTGCTCACTAGGGCTGGGTATCATCACTGATTTCTATAATCCATTCGATTCCGGTTCTCAAAGTCCTGATTGGATTCAATTTAGCCTCAGACAGTCAGAAATATTATAATTCTGATCATTTATCAGTACTGATACATGTGAGACTTCATCAGAATTGTGAACATCACAGCAGATGCCTTTGTGTCAAAGTAACTGAGAATAAAACACAGAAAAACACGAAGGAGATTTTTCTGGTCTGGCTTTTTATAGCAGATAACCTTAAAAATACTCTGCAATATTCTGTACTTTTGCATAATTTTAAAAAGTTTAAATTTCTTCAGTATTGAACAGCAGAAATTAGGCTTTCTTGTCCGAGGTCATTTAAATGAAAAAAAGAAAAAGAAAAGAAAAAGACAGCGGCCGACAGCGCTGTAAACAACGGTAGACTGGTGGGCAATAAGCCAATGAATAATGCAGAAAACAGATTTGAGACAGGAAACTGTTCTTGAAGTACACAGAGAGAGAGAGAGCTTTGCATGAAGTGTGATTTTTATCGTGGTGGAAGCAAAACAGCAAAAGTCAGAGGGAATTCATGACGAAATTGATCAAATGTGAAGCATAGTTTGCTGCTTCTTTTGCTGCTGGCTCGGCCTGCATTTCACCAGGGTGTAAATGTTAGACAGAATTCACTGAAGCATAGGAAAAAGTGCTCGTATCAATGGTTGAATGAGGTGTATTGTGTAAAGCGCTCGGACTACTCTAGTAGCAAAGGGATAAGAACAAGTCTAAATAAATCACCAAATTAAATATTTCACTAATTACGTTTTATTTACTTTAAAAACTGAAATTAGATTTTACCCTTTATATAAAAAAGTTATTATCATTTATTAAATGTTTAAAGTAAGTCCTTACTTTGGTTCTTTGTCACACCACTGCAGTCTGAACGCAGACATTTAAAAGAAGCTAACAAAGTCAAAATGGTTAAAGTTAAAAGCAAGTGAAAAACCAGCCATGTTCTGCTTGAAAATAACTGCAGAAATTGTGAGGCCACCTCATTACTTGAGGCCACCTTTGAAAAATGATGACAAAGTCTGGAATATAGGGAATTAAAAAGATAGAAATGATTGAGAGGTGGCTCTAGATTTTTGCACAGTATTGCAATTTTGAATAACTGTACATCAGTGAATACCCTTACAATCACAAACTGCAAGTGTGTGTTTATGTTACTATTTTTAAAATGCAAGTTTGTCATATTTGTCACTTATCATATCTGTTACTTATGGTTAAATGCTTTTCTTACATTTCAGTTCCACAGACCAAAGTTTGCTGACACTTAAGAAGATACAAGAAATCTGTTTCCACTACACAATGAGAATTTATTTGGTGCAAGCCTGGCGATACCTAATTAAGGGTAAAACAAAGTTAAACATAGTACTGGTCAAATATAAGATGTGATAACATTTTATAATACAGTTGGCAACACATCATAGCTTTACATCATCTGCCATGTGTTTCTGTTCAATTTAGGGTGCAATTATAAGTAATTCCAAATAAATGTTTAATTAATTTGTACCTTTGATTTATTCAACAATTACAGAAAAAAGTTATATTATGAAGAAGTGTGCTCCCTTCAAAAGCATACACAAACCGAGTTTTGCCTTCTCTTGTTTTACTTAAACAGAATTATTTGGATTATTATTAATATTATTATTTGGAGGTAAAGTTAAGGTACTTTACTGCTAATAAATAGGGCAGTGAAGGTGATAACTGTCACGGTCCAGTGTCGGTAACAGAGTTGTTTTTTTTAGTTTGGTTTTTGTGTTCCCTCTGTTTACTGTCTGTACCATGTCTCCATACATTTCCGGTTTTATTGTGAAGGTGCGTGTCTCATGTGAGTGTATTCTGTTTCACTTCCTTGTCTCGTCTTCCCCAATCAGTCCCAGCTGTGTTGCCACCTGTTCCTCGTTCCCTCTTGTGACTGCCTGCGTATTTATAGTGGTCGTGTCCAAATTCATGGGCTGCATGAGTAATTTTAAAACTTAATAGCGGCCGCCATTGTTGGAAACTGGAGTTTGGCTGGGCCGTGCTATGAATTCTGGGATATGGTAGGCCACGAAGGACACACCCGACCCATCCTTCAAATTCGGGGAAAAGGAGGACGCATTTGTCGGCTGCGTTCGGAGGAGTCTACGAATTTGGACAGCCTTCGGCGCGTCGCTGTGACGTAATCGGTCTACAAATGCGGCCTCAGGAGGATGCAGCCCATGAATTTGGACACGACCAGTGTGTATCATCTGCTCATTGCTGGTTTGTCTGCATTTCCCTGCGTCCTCCTGTGTGGGTTCCCCAAGTCTCCCTGCAGCTCCCTTTCAAGTCTGTTGTATTTAGTTGTCTCCAGTTTAGGGATCCTCAGGTTCTGTTTCATGCCCACTGCGTGTCTGTTTATTTCACCTCCCCAATAAAACTCCCTTGCATCTGAAAGCAGCCTGCATTTTGGGTCCTTCGTTAAATTCCTCACTGTTTGCCCCACGAGCCGTGACAATAACTTTCTTATTTTTTGCAGACTGGAGACAGCTGGGATCAACTGGCCATTCCAGAAGAATGATTACCAGGCTGCTGAACACTGCCTACCGAAGCCCTATGCAGCGTCTAAGAACTCGTCCACAAACTCTATCCGGTCCAGTGACTTTGTTGGGTTTGATGTGGCTCACGGGTCGCTTCATTTCGTGGGTCCCTGTCACCAATGCAGATGATGGTACTGCCAATGGAGAGTCTTTTTTAGGCTGGTTCATATCATGGTGGGTAACACAAGTTTTCACAATTTTTTTAAAAAGTAAGAAAGCTATTGCTGTATTCTTATTTTTTTTAAAAACTGTCACCACAGAATTAAACACAATTCTTGTAACTTCTAAAACAAAATCGATTGCTCAAAAACAAGCAATTGTGGGAACATAATTCTAAATAATTACAGTGCAAATATTAACTTTTTCTTTTTAGGTTTTATGGAACTCCTTCCAAGTACTCAGATATCATCTCCAACAGTGATCTGAAATCTAAAGGACCTCCTGCTGTCTACCAACTGAGAACAAAGAAAGAGAAGTTTGGGAGTCTGACAAGAATGACTGTTGGGGAAAAAAAACCAAACAAGCCAAATAAAACCATCTTACTTGTGGGTGAAACGGGAGCAGGAAAATCTACTTTGATCAACGCTCTAGTCAACTTCACCATGGGGGTTCAGTTTGAGGATGGAGTCTGGTTTCAGATTATAGATGAGGAGAAGAGAAGTCAGACAGAAAGTCAGACATCAGATGTGATCGTGTATGAGATCTTTGGTTTTGAAGATAAAACTCTGCCCTACTCTCTGACCTACTCTCTGACCATCATTGATACTCCTGGATATGGAGACACCAGAGGTACTGAAATGGATGATGGCATCAGTGAAAGACTATTAGACTTGTTTCAATCAGAGGATGGAGTTAACAAAATTCATGCAGTGGGTCTGGTGATGAAGGCAAGTGAGAATCGACTGAGTGACCGACAGATGTACATCCTTGATTCAGTGGTGTCTTTGTTTGGAAAAGATCTGGAGAAAAGCATTGTTGCTCTCATCACACACTCAGATGGAGTAACACCTGAAAATGCTCTCAAAGCTCTCGAAATTGCAAAAATTGAATGTCCAAGAAATGGAAATAATGAGCCTGTTCACTTCCTGTTTAATAACCAACAGAGCAAAGAGAGAACAGAAAAAAATGAATCTTGTTTGGAGACAGCATGGAGAATAACAGAGAGAGGAATGGATGAGCTCACAGCTTTTCTAGAAAAAACTGCACCTGAAAAGTTGTTGGTAACAACTAAAGTGTTACGTGAACGCAAAAGACTGAAAGCCTGCATACAAACCTTGAGAGAGAAAATAAATGAAGTTGAACTCAAGCAAACCAAAGCCAGACAGATAAAAGAAGTGTTAGAGAAACATAAAAAAGAGATGCAAAACAATGAAAATTTCTCTGTCGAAGTTCTGGAGTTTTACAAAGAGAAAGAATATGTAAAAACTGGGTGGTGGGGTGGGGTGTTTTATAATGGTACTGTCTCCTGTACAAACTGTCAGGAGAACTGTCACTTGAATTGTGAAATGGCCTGGTATCCTTCACAGTGTGATATCATGAGCGGAGGCTACTGCACTTCTTGCACCGGGAAGTGTCCTGTATCAGATCATGTGAAGGGAAATTGGAGATATGTGCTGAAAACAAGGAAAGTCTGGCAGACATCAGAAGACATGAAAAAGAAGTATGAAAAACTGGAGGAGATCGCTCTGAAAGCTGTTTCAGCATCCACTTTTGTCCAAGAGCAGATGAGCCTTCTGGAACACCTTCAAGGGGAAATAAGCCAACTGGCAGCAAAGAAGTCACAGTTACTTGGTGAGTGCTACCAACAACTTGTCACACTGGAGGAGATGGCTCTGAAAGCTGGTTCAGCATCCACTTTTGTCCACTTGGACTTCCTGATTGAGAAGATGAAGGAGGAACAAAACACAGAGAAGGTCCAGAAACTGGAGGAAATGAGAAAGAGAGTGGATGAAGGAACCAGACCAGGGTCAAGGTATATGCAGGGAAAAAACTAGAGAAGTGAAAAAGTGGGGTTAGGGGTAGAAATGGATGACTGAGCCTTTGTCCAGACAGAGACAGGAGAGGCGGAGTCCAACCCCCAAACGGGTTGCCCTGTTTGACCCCGGAAAAAGTTTTGTGAAAGGTTCTTCCTACTGTGTTCTACTCTGAGGTGCTCATTTTCTTCCGATGAGCCGTGTTTTTGTTTTTTTTGAGAGGGGGGGGGGTTGTAATTTTTTTTGTGTAGTTTTTTTTGTTCCCTGTTGGGTTTGTTATTCTATGTAATAATAATGGGAATTAAATAAGGTATGTATTTTATAAGTTTCTTTGTTATGATTTTGCTGTGAAAAAAATAATTTAATAATAAAACAACAAAATAAATCAAATCAATTCAGTTTTATTTATAGACCACCAATCAGTTGCCCCAAGGCGCTTCATATTGTAAGATATGTGAGTACAAGAAAATAGTTATTATAATATGATGTGTTAAATTTGTTTAGATCACAGGAATAAGGAAGGATTTGTCTGTGTTTCAGTTTGGCTTAGCTGTAGGCCTGTTAGTGTGTAATTGTTTAGAGGGAAATGAATTTATTGACACTGGGGGTCTGCTGTCATAAAAAGAGACAGGAAGCTACAGTTGGGGGTTGCTGATGCTTGTACCTTTAATAAAATCTCATAATTGTTATAAACTGTAGGTTTGCAGGAGACTCTCCACATGCTTATCTGTAAATGTAAGACAACAAGAGGCCAATGGCCCAGTGGATGCAGAGTGGGGGTCTCAGTGTTTGTAATATGTTAACTGTGTTTTGTATGTTGTCTAAAGGAATTTGGTGTGGCTTGGGTGAGGAGATTACTTTTATGACCGACAGGAAGTCACGTACACAGAGACACACACACACAGTGCTTTAACTGTTACACTCACACACCTACATGCACAGTCACTCACGTGCACTCACATAGGCACGCACAGGCACTCACCTGCTCGTGCATACACACACAAACACAGAGTTTGCAGCACACCATGGGGGTTTTATGATGGGGTCACTTCTATAAAGCTGACTGTAACAAACAAAGGAGTGGAAGATCTGCAGAGGGACACCAGCCTTACACGTCTCCCCTTCTGGAAGATGCATGCTTAAATTAAGATGAATAAAGGTTTTGTGAAAATGACTACTGAGTCCGGTGCCGTCTCTGGATGCCTCGAGGAATAAAAAAGAACCAGGGTGAAACTGATTTTGTAACAGATAGATCCTAAAATAATACATATAGAGAAAAGGGATTAGGGTTGTGAGATAGAATGCAAAAACCCTCCCCACCTTGTCTGATGACCTGGTGGTTGGATAGAGGTTCATTGGAGACGCACATGCGTAACTCCACATTACCCTATCTCATCTCACTTGCCCTTCTGTCCCTGGAGGATGACTGTGTAGCCGCCGGGAGACGCCGAGACAGCAAACTCCATCAATCCCCATTGAGTGAAATCCTACATTTACTTTTTTGAGTGTTCTATGTATTCAATTGTGTGTCCTTATTGTTACCTCAGAAGTGTCTGAGTTCATTTTATACTTTTTAATTTGGTTAGGTTTGTGAAAAAGAACGCAATGGAGGGGGGGTGTAGGGTTAGGGGAAAACGAAATGGGTTAGGGGAAGGGGACTGAGCCTGCCATCTCCGTGAGGCAGGAAATGCACGGGCCATCCCTCCAGAAGGAAACCCACCCTGCTGGTTGTCACGATTACGGGAAAGCCTGCTGACATTGGGTCCTCAGTCTTTGGTTAATCTTTGCGTTTGTGTTGTGTTTTATGTTTTGTATATTGTTGTAGTTTTTGTGATTGGGGTTCGCCTTTATCTAAGTAATTATAACTCTTATATGAGCTTTTATGAGGCGAGAAATAAATATAGAAAATAAAAGGAAAAAAAAGAAAAATGTAAACAAAAGTTTTATTTAATTAATTATTAAGGTCAAGAAAATGGTGTGCCGTACACGCAACGATTCGACCCTTCAAGGTTCTTCTTCAGGCGCTTGGCACACAAAAAAACTGCTGACAAAATGTGGCTGTAATGCACAGTTCTGTGGCTGGTAAGAGATGTTCACTCTTCAACGCTCCAAATCCGAATGAGCTCCTGGCTGACTCCACCTCCCTTTATACTGACTGTGTGTGTTTTTTATGTTTTGTCAATCCATTTCCAATTCTCCTTTTGTAAAACGTGTATTAACCTTCTGCATGTGAATCCTTTTTACCATTACCTTTAAATATGACCTCTAAACATTTTACAATACACTGTTTTTAATATTTAATCTTTTTAACTGTATTTGTTTCTTGTGAAATGATGTCATGAAATAACACTGTTTTTAATGTTTTACGTGATTCCACGTTTTTTTAATCTAAACATCATTTTTATCAAATAAAAATGTTTTAATCAATTTTTATAATGTAAATAATGTCCATGTCCAATTGTAATTAACTGTAAATATTAGGATGAGGGTTTTGTATTATGGCCCCCAGGTTAAGATTAGAATTAGGATGGGGGAGGGGTTAGGGGAAATCAAATTTGGGAGTCAGGGTTAGGGTAGGGGAATTGATTCCTCCTACAAGGATAGAAGGAAGGTGCGCGGGCCGTCCCACGGGAGAACCCCAGATCCCTGTTTGGGTTGTCAACACATCTCACCTCATCCTGGAGGTGAGAACCGACCCCTTCTAACCTCCATCTTTAAGTGAGATTAAAGAATGACATTACTGCAGAACAAAATTAGAAACTACGATTAGCATGTGTGATATTTTGTTTTACGCTCTGTCATGTTTCCTGTATGTCGAATGTGTCTGTACCTCTTACTGTTGGCTGTGTGATAAACTGTTATACCTGTTATGGTCAACAAATAAGGGAACCAAATTTTTCTTGTAGCCACACAAACCTACACTTTGGTATTTTGTAACCATGTATTTTATGTATTTGTGTATTTCCTCTAAATGTTCATGTGGTGAAGCTTCGCAACATGAAAAATGCAATTTCCATGAACGGTTTATGTATTATGCTTATGGATACAAGCTTATTTATACACACATGAACACATGCTGAAACTAATCTGTTTTGGCAACGATAAGCAAAGCATTAAAACGATAAGAGGCCGCTGTTAACGTATTTTATCCGATAAATAAACCCTGTACAATGCATTTTACCCCCCCCCCCCCCCCCCCCCCCCCAAACAGCCCTTTTGAATGTCTCCCTAGTATGGCCACAACACCTCACTCTTGGAGCACTGTTTTGCCACATGTATTGCAAACCACGTCTCAGCTGTTTGTGGAGGTAAAATAAGTCTGCACGTGACTAAAATTACGCTCAGCCATTGTTGTGAGTGCGCACGCCAAGGCGCTGCGAGACATTTATACAGCTGTATTTCACACATGACTATGAAAGACAGAAGAGGAAGTAGTTCCTTTGAATGTAGACAATCCGAATGTTATAGTTTCTTTCCACTGTGTTCCTGTTAATGATAAACTACAAATTTACTCTAAATTACTAAAATATCGATATTTTAATGTGAGAATCGATTCTAATGTGAGAATCAAGTCAGACTCTTAAAGATTAGTAGTTAATTAAATTCAAATTCAATTTGTAAATTCAAATTCAAATTTTTTATTTGTCACGTACACAGTCATACACAGTACGATATGTAGTGAAATGCTTGGACAACTGCTCGTGACCTAAAGAAAACAAAAAAGGAAAAGGCTATGAATAAGATAGGAAATAAATATGAAAAATTAAAAAGGGTAAATTTAACTAGGAAGGAATAAAATATAAATTAAGGTTAAAAATGAAATAACTGTACAACACACTGGGAAAGAATAAGATAAAATATATAAATTAAATTGAAAATAAAATAACTGTACAACAAAATACACAATATAGAACTATATAAGAATGTATGAACAAAATACACAAGAAGTATAAATAAATATATACACAATAACAGCAGCAGTGATTTAAGTGATGAAGTGAAAACAATGTCCAGAATGTCCAGTGTGTGTGTAAGAACTATATGTGTGGGTCAGTACTGTGTGGTGGTGTGATTGTGATTGAGAGACCGTATCGCCTGCGGGAAGAAGCTCCTCCTCAGTCTCTCTGTGTTGGTCTTCAGGGAGCGGAATCGCTTTCCTGACCTCAACAGAGAGAACAGTCTGTTGTTGGGATGGCTGAGGTCCTTCACGATCTTCCTGGCCTTGGTCCAGCACCGCCTGCTGTAGATTGAGTGCAGGTCAGGGAGCTCGGAGCGGATGGTGCGCTCAGCTGACCGCACAACCCTCTGTAGAGCTCGTCTGTCCTGCATGGTGTCCTGCATGGTTCCCGAACCAGGTTAAGATGTTTCCCGCCAGGATGCTCTCTATGGTGCACGAGTAAAAGTTCCTGAGCACCTTGGAGGGCAGTTGGAAGTCTCTCAAGCGTCTGAGGTGGTAGAGACGCTGACGGGCCTTTTTCACCACGGAGTTGATGTGACAGGACCATGACAGGTCCTGCGTGATGTGAACTCCGAGGTATTTGAAGCTGTCCACTCTCTCCACTGGGCACTCGTTGATGACGGGGGTCTGGTAGTTCCTCTCCTGCTTAGTGCTGAAGTCCACTATCAGCTCCTTTGTCTTACTGACGTTTAGAAGGAGGTTGTTCCTCTGGCACCAGTTCTCCAGATTCCTAATCTCCTTCAGGTAGGCCGTCTCGTTGTTATCAGAGATCAGGCCCACCACGACGGTGTCGTCAGCAAACTTGATGATGGTGGTGGAGCTGGTAGTGGCCACGCAGTCATATGTGTAGAGAGAGTACAGCAGGGGGCTCAGAACACACCCCTGGGGGGCTCCAGTGCTGAGAGTGGTGGAGGCTGAGACATGTCCGCCCATCCTTACTGCCTGTGGTCTGCCAGTTAGGAAGTTGGAGATCCACTGACACATAGATGAGCTGAGTCCCAGATGCTCCAGCTTGGTGGTGAGTGTGGAGGGAATTATGGTGTTAAATGCAGAGCTGTAGTCT